CAGGATTGAATTACATTAAAAAACTAGGAAAGGTTGACGGGGAGACCTCCCTGTTCCGAAGAACCCGCAGTGTGTGGGGTGCGTAAACTAGTACTCTACTTACTCGCGACTCTGGTCTTTTCACTTCAGAGGTCTCGCAGATCCGAGCAAAAGTTGTTGCATTACAATATATATATATATATATATATATATATATATATATATATATATATAAATCGGATCCACCCACGAGTTTAGAAAGTATCGAGAGCAACCTCTCAAACCATGAAATGAAGTTTCATGAAGTTTCACTTCCAGTTCAGACTACCCAAATATCCGTTTGTCCAGTAGGAGCTAAAAGGTTCAACTCACCATTTTAATATACGGAAGTGGTGTACAGTAGTGAAATCGATCTCATTTAAAACTTCCTACTTCTCACACTGATCACGTTTCAAACTTTTGGAAGCTGTTTGCACGCTTATTGTCATCAGTCAACTTGGGATTCTTACGGGGTATACTTTCATACTCGAGATGTGCCAGTGTACCAACTATCCACAAGGATTAAGTAGCTGAACTGCCAAATTAGCTAAACCAAAATGGATGCTCAACGGACCACACCCATGTGACATTCACATCTAGGTCATGTGTTCTGAATAAACCGAAAGTTTCATTCCAGCTTGCCCGAAATATCCACAGAGAATAAGCAAATAAAGGGCAAATTATTCACTCATTATCCTCCAACTGTGTTCCATTTGGTTTTGCTTTTTTCTGTCAAGCAGACCCATGGTAATCACTTCGCCAAAAATAAATGATTCTGATATGATCAATAATTATTCATCAGTAACTACAATCACTTTTGGAGAATTCTGTATTCAAAGTTTTACCAATTTCTGCCTCGAAGTTTCGAGACATTTAAATTGGCTGTCTAAATAACAACTCAAACTGCGAGCTGGTAGCCGTATAGCTGAAGTTACCAACAAAATTTCGATAAAATTTCACATTCCAGCGCAGCTTTGTCATATAGTGATCTTCTCTGACTGGGAAACCAATAAAAATGTCTATGAGAAAAATGGTCTGGGGGTCTTAGATCAAAATAAACTGGTTAGACCAAATCCGGCGTCATTGTCTAATGTGTGATTGAATCAGATAGAAAGTGCAGCGCAAATATAGCCAAGAAAACACAATAAAAGTGGAACGAGGTTTCGGGAGAGAAACAGGGAGAACCTGAACATGAATCAAATAGTCTTGAACTCAATAGATCTACCAAATGCAGATGGCGAGATGTTTTGATGCAATATTTACAATGTTCACTCGACTTTCTATTCCATTTGTTATTTATTTCCTGAAAGGAATACTTACACTATTCAAGAGAGACGAAAAATCGATTGGCCTATTGTTTCCTCGGATACGAACACTTGAATCGTTCTGAGGCGGAGATCCGAAGTCGACCGGAGATGCAACTTCCAGTTAGAGCATTCGGAAATGTGAATATGGCACTCTTTCAAACATTGATGATGATACTTGGTGAATACGAGCATACAGAGGTGATTACCAGGCCCTATTTGGATGGATTCTCTGCCACAATTTACACGGTCGAACTGACATTTGCGTTCTACGCGGCATTCGCTTTTACAATGCCTATATCACTGGTGAACCTAATGGTGAGGTATACATGTGGACCAGTTAGTCACTTTTACCAACATCTTGAGCATTCTGGTTGTATCCCAACAATGGACCGGTGACTATTTTCTGTGATTTATGCGTGAAATTACGCTACAAACAACGTGATTGTTGGTTACTGCTGGCAGTCACTGGTTTTAGGATTTGTCCAAAGATCGAGATAATATACCGTATTCATTCATGAGGCACACGCGAAATCATTTGCAATGACGTTTTCATAAGCATAAATCTGCCGATTGATGTATTTCCTTCTAACCGGTAACTCGGTTCACAGACTCACTCACTCGGTTAAACTGCTACGACACAGGGTATCAATAAATCTTATTTTACTTTCATCACAAGTGGCTACATACAACAGGTTTTGTGTGTATTGGGTTGGAGTAATGGAAAAAACGACGACCGGTGACAGTTACACACCAAAACATGGTGGTACTCCCAACTGAGATATGTAATGTTAATTGTCATGTCGGTTGCACGCAGTTGATGACTAGTTTGTGGTCTATTGAGCTGATGACTAGGATGGACTCATAGACCATTCGGTATTCCTAGGAACACAAAGGGGTATCGTTCAGCCGAATCACAATCGCTAGAGTTCGTCTTTTACTGTTTCTTTCTGGTCCATCTTTAGTGGTGTAGATAGGACGACAGACCTCAATGGCTTCCCGAAAACAATTCGATTTCTTCAAAATGATGATAATTGCGGTTTGACCACTCCTCACTAGTTCTTGCTTCAATATGCTTTCAAAAGGTCTTCTTGGATTTCGACTCAAGTAACTTGCTCCACAAGTGCATTTGAATTGTGACACGATGAGAGTCGGAATCCGCGAATAGTCAGTCTTTCGGTTGTAAGGGGAAAAGTGGTAGAGAGGAGAACTAGGCACGAGATCCAGCAGAGAATTACGCACAATTCGATCGCAATTTGAAGCTGCCTATTTTTTCCGATGGCCTCATTGTCTCCCCTTAGAAAGAGAAACCTCTTTTCTTGATTGCTTACCTCCTGATTTTTCAAGATGAGAAATTCCGTCTGCTAGAGTGTATGTTCACATGCTCACTAATTCATTCGTGTACTGAAACACATATTGGGCGTCTTGATAACTTGATTCTTCTCACTCTATTACTTGACTACCAACCAACCTGAGCATGTGGGTATGCTAATGATTATTTGCTGCTCATTTACGGGTTTGTGGACTACCCTCGTTTGACTACCAACTCAACCATGACTTCACAGTATTTGGAGTCTCCTGGTGAAAAGAAACTCATCATCAGACCGGATTGTTGTGTGATTGTGTAACAGTATTATCCATACAGTTCGAGTGAGTGGAAAACATCAAATCATGGTATGCTGGCTTCAAACGATCAATCAAAACCTAATCCAAGGAGCACTTACATTATCATGAGCGGTTCAAGTTCAACACTGGGATGATGCCCCATACACTGATCATGTGTCTCAAGACTTGGGGAGCAGATATTCAAGAGCCAATGGGAATGCTAATCGATTCATATCATGTAAATTAGACTGAAGCCTAGAACAGTTGGATCTCACAGTTTGAATAATGTACTAAATAGCTTCTCGATAGAAATTAACATCCATACATGAGGTAACCAGTCATTCAGGCCTATGCATGTAGCACCAGTCATTCTTCGGTCTGTCAGACTTCGATTCCAACAGGCCTACTAAAATAATCAAAGTGTAAAGATACACATTTCAATTTCTGTACCCTACTTCAGGCAGCTACTACCCTTTTACTTAACTGACGTTTATCAACAAGAAATCTCATCTATTCCTTGTATTCTAAGCTCTAAACTGGACAGGGAAACGCAGTGACTGTCACCTTCACATGTCCACCAATATAAATCGCCTATGTGAACCTAAAAAATGCTCGGTACACAATGTCAACAAACCAAGCTGAAGGCCTGGGGAAAATTATCAGGTTGCTATTTTAAGAGGGGTCTTCTACAACGTCAAATCTCAGCGGCACAATCAATATTTATGGGTTCATTACCATCATCTACCGATATGGCCCGAAACGAGAGAAGCGAACTATTACTCATATTAGACAAGTACTCAACATTATTAGTTGATGTTTTCAAAAACCTAGGGTCCTTTGATGAGAAGAAGATCATGGACCTGATCTTTATGTGATAGTGTAGTGGCTTTATTCACTTAAAGAAAAGAAAAAGGGGTACTGGCTTCAAGCTATCCGTCAAGAACTAAGCTAAAGCATCTTGAATTAATTTATCAGATCCCAGATCCTTTCGGAGTGTATCGAAAAAACGACGCGCCATGTGATACGTTATAGGTAAGTGTTTATTGTTCGGTACCCCAGCATTATTAGAAAAGATAGTAGTCAGTCGACGCTTCGGTTACCACGGGTAACCTTTCTCAAGACCAGTTTGCAATCGAGAAAGGTTACCCGCGGTAACCGAAAATTCGACTGACTACCAACGTTTCCGATAACGCTGTATTACCGAGCAATAAACATTTACCTGTTAAACATCTGGGTTGGCGGAACAGACACTCAATACATTACGACGTGTTCTGGCCTCACTTTGTGAAATGTACCATTTGCTGTGTACAACCATGTGGTCACACACACGTATACAGTTGACGTTTGGGGAGTTTCGTCCAATCAGACTGCATCACGTGTTGCATGACCTTGCGCAGCTTGATCCTGTTGTACGATGTTTTACGCTTCCGATTTCATACGTCACTGAATTACGCACTTGCACACGTGTTTGCTCTTCACTTGCGTGCTTGTACTGGCGTTTAGAGTACGTTGCTACAGAATACACGTTCACCCGTACAAATGAGCCTTCATTCTATTAACCGAATTTGGAACACAACACTATTGACAAATTTTATCGTGGTCCTGTGATAAACCCCAAAAGCTCTTCTGCAACAGAGAATAGTATACCGATGAGTCCCTGACTGTGTTGTGTATCTCTTCAATAGTGAATACGTGTTTGGTAGTGAGATGGTTGAATTTCATTGCATAATTCTTTTCTTTTCGTTTGTTCGTGGAGAGGAATGAAATTCGAAAGTATACCGAATGCACCATAAAGAATACGATATCGATCACAACTAATTCGTTGATGCATGATAAGATTGAGTCGCTGTTAGAGCGCCCGTTGTTTCTTTAGATAGCGAGTTTCATTTTCAACACTAACGTGAAACTATCTTTTATTCGTGATCTGCAATGAATTGTGGATTTTGCTCACAGATTGGTCTTGCAGTTGGAGATATTGGTCAGATTCAACGATCTGCTACACTTCAAGTGGTCGCACAACAAGTCTACTGGTTGGATCAAGTGGAATCAAGGTTGTCGAAGTGGCTGCATAAGAAAGCACAAGTGAAACACTGGGTTATTCGACCACCTCTCACATTCAACAGACGAGTAAGTGAAACCATGGAAATAAATCTCCCTGAACCAATTTATTTCGGTCAGGAACAACAATTGGTAGTCGAAACCGGTTGTTGGAGTCTCAGTCAGATTATTGATTATGGGATGTTCGTTTTTGATATTCTGTTACCATTCTTATTCATATTAGCTGATTGCAAACTTTCGAAATCTTGAAAATAGATTTGTGTCTTCGTCATTTCGGTTGGATGCAATGTAGTCGAAAAAATACTATATTCCCATTTGTTTGTTTGTTCACAGAATGGTTTGAAGTAAATATGTGACTTAATCATTAATTTGCAAGTTTGAAATGGACGTGTTTAGGAATTGGTGTTTTCGGGATGAGGTTCTATCAGCAAATACATTACATGAGTGCTGAAGTCCCTTGCGTCACTTCACTCCAAAGAATGTTTGATGGATGCAACTGACTGCTTCTCTTTTCATCTATCGTTTTACAGAAACCTCACACAGTGGAATTGAAATTTGCGCTTACCAAGCTAAACAAGGAGTGAGTGAAAACATGTATTCGGTCGAATTCGATTGTAAACTCGGTTTTTAACAAAGCATTCGAAGCGAATTATGATCACCGAAAGCCCACCATCAGTGGCTGATTCAGCATTACCGTACACTAATGGAAGAACACCACCCCTCTCCACTCATCTCATCTATTGTGACAATGTCTCTATTGTCCCGATAAGATGTATGAGCACAAGATTGGGGATCGGTGAGACAAAATTTTGCCCTCCATTTATGCCGTTCTAATGACTATGGAACTATTCAAAATATATATAGCATACAGTACCCAATATTTCACATTTTGTGCACTCAGAGTGGAACTCAGTTTCGAAAGTATAAGAAATGCTAATAAACCCACTCGGTGTTTCTATTTTTCTGTGATTTATTCTAAACTGAACCATTTAGAAGGACCAAAACTGATGTGATTATTTGTCAACTTACTACCATATCACAATGCACACGGATTTGATGTGTGGAACAGATAAATGAATTTATTCTCTTAAAGGAATTTGAGAGGGTGCGAAATGCAAATAATCTCACGCCTAGACAAATGGCTAAAACTATAAACTGGTCGGGAAAAGCAGTGATCTCTGTTAATAAATATTGAAATACAATATCTAAGCATGCTTGCCATTATATTCGGGATGTTCTCAAGTCATTTGCTGTCTCATTCATCGAGAAAGACCGACTCCAACTTGCGCAAAGTGGTGAAGACTCTTCCTTTCGCATAGGATCACCTAGCTAATACACACCATGCATTTTCAATCAGGTTCAAGTCTGGACTGTGGGCAGGCCAGTCCACGGCCATGATACTCCGGTACAATGATCACATTCTGATGGGGTTGGCCGTAAGTACGGATGTATTTCATCTTGAAAGGTAACGGGCCTCAGTCGATTAACGGAATCATTGGGAGGAGAAATGCATTCGATATTCTCATGTATGCTTCAGATATCTGCTTCTATTCTAGAACTGCTAGATGAGAATTTCCTTCTTCGAAACTGCACTCCGAGACCATCACAGAGCCATCCCCAAAGACAAGATTACTGAGTTCCAGCTTGCTTTCCCTGAAATTGTACCAGTAGTACATGATTCCATGAGGACCACCGAAATTAAACATTTTCTCGCCGCTCAATATCCCACTATCCCATTCAGCATCACAAGTAATGGGATATCTGGCACGTTTTTCTTGATCTTGGAAATGAAATACAGTCATCTAAGGCATCCACTTCACCTTTCAGTGCTACAAATGTGGTGCAGGCTATAGAAGTTTCTTTGGATGCCGAACACACACATTCGGTTCTAAAACCCTCTGTAGCTTTGACTCACTCGTGAGATGGTTCAAAGCACCGCGCAAGAGTCCCTTCACGGACTGATCTGGATAATTGTCTTCGAATTCCACGTTTCTTTTAGCCAAATAAGGAATTGAATTCTTCAAAATTTGCGAATTATTGTCGATTTGGGCATTTTCTTGGGATTTTGGCTATCTTTAGCCCCATGTATTTGTATTCCACTAATTCTCCTTGTTCTAGATCATATAGCTTTGGATTTCTCGCCATCTCTTGGTTTTGACAAGTGAGAGGTCTCTACTTCTAATTCGAAAGCACTATTCTATTGAAATTCGTTCGCGAATCACCAAAGACATGGATACTGCTGAGCCAAACATCACTGAGAATTGAAAATGAGCCATTACGGACTAAGGTTGGTGCGCTTGTAAGCCAGTTCGAAGTTTGTATCGTATTTTCAGTGGCAGGTTTGATAACATTTCGCACCCTCTCAAATTCCTTTAAGAGAATAAATTCATTTATCTGTTCCACACATCAAATCCGTGTGCATTGTGATATAGTAGTGAGTTGACAAATAGTCACATCAGTTTTGGTCCTTCTAAATGGTTCAGTTTAGAATAAAACACAGAAAAATAGAAACACCTAGTGGGTTCAATGGCATTTCGTGCACCATATAACACTTGATCATTGTCTGTGAAATATCTAGAGCGACTCTACAGAATTTGATGTCTTTCATTTGCACAAACCATGATACCTCCAGTACCACTGCAAGTGGAAGCAAGTGGGACTGTATGAAATAACTTCCAATAATTGATTTTCGCATGTCATTTTCACCTTCATCCTTTGATTGTGGATACGCACGGGATTTCCTGTTTGCAAAGTCCAGTCAATGTGAATGGAAGGTTATCTCATCAATTATCGATGCGAATAAATTCACCATAAAATCTTCGTCGGAGAAACTCTAATGCTCTGTCACGATGCCTAACTGAGTAGTTGTTGAACATATATGAGTTCTCATTGACTTTGCTCGATAGGAATTGATGAAATTTCCACGAACAAGAAGGCACTTAGCAAAAGATGGTTGAATAAAACTGCAATAACTTTATGAATTACCACTCCCCTATACATGCTTCTCCACAAGCTCTTCAAGTTTCTTTCATTGTAATTCTTGCTTCCCACATAATTTTACTTTTGGAAGCACTATTTTGCGTTTTTGTTATAAATTCAGAGATGATTCAACTATTATAGGAAAATGTGCTTCCGTCATGGTTCTTCTGTTTGTGCTGGAATTTTTCCAGTTATATGGGTTGTGAATGGTTGGTTGTTCGTTGCTGTTGTTCCTTAAATTGCCCCGGCCTCTCTCCCTATCAGTCTTGCGCGAATCAAACGTCGAATGGCGTACATGGAAAGTGTCCTAGATCAGACGGTTGAACAGACTGGGATGGGATCGTATAAAACACAACAGGATGTTGGAATTTACAGTGATGTGAGTGGTATTAGCGATTATTCCATAGAACCGAATTTCAACTTTGTACGTCCGTGAATATTTCATCCAGATAAACTACGGATTTCTATGTGAAATGAATGTACGACCTAATTTTTTGCGCTAAAATTCTTCAAACGATAGAGTGAAACCTTCGAAACATAGTAAAATCGTAGGGCATAACATAATCGCATTACGCAGAGTATTTGCATACTTCACGAGTTAGTCGCACTTGGTAGATCGACCCATGCTGTGGCTTAGAAATACACCACTATTTCCGCTGACAGTCAAGGAAATTGAAATATGAAACTCGGTATTGTGATGCTAATCAATAGCCAAACCACAAATCAAAATGCTGTGAAAATCATGAATGAGTGACCAGTGCGAACGCCATTGTTCAAACAGCCGTCTTGTGCATTACACCCCAGAAACACATACTGCTCTCCGATAACAACGCAAAATGACGTCTTATGCACAGTGGTCTGAAATTAGTTTCATATCAGGTCACAAAAGAACCCCATTACCATAATCAGAACAAAGGATGTAAATGAACATCTGCTTTCAATGACTTGGTTCTCAAGCCATCACAATAACATTTACATGGTAATGAAATGTGCAAGGACCTGATCAGAAGAAATAAAAGTGTCTCATTAAACATTTGAGAGATGAATGTGTGATGAGTAGGTGAACAATTTGTTTTTGACCTAGCAACGCTTACTCGAATGACTGGGTTGCGTAGCAGGTGATAACTAATTTACGTCACCACTAAGCTATTGTATGGTGTAATCGATTTCCAGTCAGGATAGTTGGAGTGTGGGAACCATATTTCGTTGCGTGCATAGTTCCGACCTCAACAGACAAATGCCTAATACTTCGGCAGTTGCAATTGCCCAAAGCCCGACTGAACTTCACTGTGACTGGCTCCTTGGGTTGAATAGGCCGGCTTCATAAATGTCGCTGATCGCGACTTCCGATGCTTGGAGGTTTGCCGCAATCGTAGCGTAGATAACAGAGCGTGTAGATGACGTGGTCGGGAATTTTCATGGGTGTTTTGGTGCAGTGGACCTCTTCGGCATCACTCGGCTTTATTCCGCGGGCACACCTCTGGCATTTGCACAAGCAACTGCGGGCTACAAAGCAGCAGTGCGTTCACGTATGGTTGCCAGTGTCTTCCTAGGAGCAAGTTATCCATCGAATTGAATTGAATCCTACCCAGAGGTTCATGCAGCCCTGTTGGTTTGGTGGATTTTCTCTACAGTCGTTAGTAGACAGTAATTATTCTCCTCCCACTAAGGCAAACCTGTCTTTGTATGCCGAAAACCGTCCCACCGCGGTTTTTGGACCTCGGCAACTCTCAACCCGTTTTATCCCACCTGTGGAGCAGTTTCGTGGGTCGTTGCCGCAAATGCATTATTTAGCTTTGTGGAGCCAGATGTAACAGTTTGGTACATGATGGAGACGAAAGAGATGTAAGATACCCCAAGGCCACGACAGTTCAACAACTCAGAGGTGCTACTCGTATCAGATACCACATGCAATCCTTTGTACTTGCTGCACTCAGATAGATAATACACAGTTCAGTTGTATTTTTCGCATCCAGATGTCCAGTACCGGTAGCCCGAATCGAACCGGTGACACTCAGCTTATCGAGATGGTCTACCATGTGAGCTATCGCGATACTGTCAGTCGGATGTGATTACCGAAAGTGAATATCCACTGATGCGTTACTACTATTCCAATGATGCACAGCAGTGCCGCGCTGGACTTTTGGAAGCGAAAAATACAGGCGAATTTTCATTATATATAATCCGGGTACCTTGTACCGACACGGATATGTTTCACTGTCCATTTGGTGGCATTCAGTCATGTGTTGCTCGTATTGTTGGAAAGGTACCAACGGAACTAGTACAGTGATTGAAAGGCCTACAGTTTCTGTCTCACTGGAATAGCGGATGCGCATCCTTGGATATTCACTTGCGTTATTCACACGCAGCTGACCGCATCGTGGCAGCTCAGCTGACAAAGCGTCTACCCGGTAAACGGAGGGTCACCGGTTCGGTTCCCCTACGCGACGCTGAAATCTTGAGTTGAAAAGTGCAAGTGAATTTTCCATTACTGAAGACCTAGGTGCCTCCTGTCGAAAACACATTCCACGAACATGTTTTTATTTATTTTGCAGCAAATGTTTCTAGAAACAGCCAGGTTTTGTGTAGTCTGAGACAATCAGTTAAGGGAGGATGACCGTGTCACACTACTCTGTATGCAATTAGGATAGAATAAATTTGTATGGATTTCTCATGAAGTGGGTATGTGAGTGGGTACACGTTGCCTACTTAGAATTCCAACGTATGATTACTGAGGCAGTAGTTGGACCCACATCCTGAATACTTAATTGATCTCTTCGTCTTTCGGGTGAACAGATTTAGTATAGTTTCAATCTCAGTTGTTCATTGTTTCCGAAGAGCCACAGAAATCCTCGCGTGCTCTGTGCTTTGTTAGCCTACGATTAGGTATTGCGTTTCTATGGTGCACATCGTCAACAGCTGTCTGTACGAAGGCCAAAAGGCACAACAGCTACCTAACAAACTTCCTTCAAAATCTATATGTACATTTGTGTTCTAAATAACTCGTACAATATAGGTCCTCATACCAATGTCATTAGCTATCTAGTTTATATTTATGATCCATTCAGGGTATCCCACGGATTCGTGTTTCATCAGCATCCACCAAATGCATTGGCTATTCGGCACATCCATGCGTTTGGCTGCATGATTTTATCGAAAAATGTGTAGAATTGTCTACTTTATACTCTGTAGATGTTGCTTTTTTCTTCAATTCTCTTCAGGATCCGATGATCAAGGATTAGAACAAACAGATGGAAGAACAACTGCGAATCCAGTGGAAACCTGTTAACGAGTTCACTGACATTTACAATTGATTCAATTCCCCTTTTTATCATCGTAGCCAACTCTTCTCACCTCGAAAATGAAATGCAGTGTGCTACTCAGGTTTTTTCCACTTTGCGCAAACACTGGAGGTAACTGAAAAACATGCGGATTTGAGGCTGCGATTTGGGTGGGCAACTTTCTCTACGAGGATCTATGTGAAGAATCGTTGAATAGAATATTCGCATTGTTATATCATAAATATGTTGTATACGGGAGGGTCCACTTGTTGTTCTAGTATGCACGCGTAAACTATTTCGGAGAACAGTTTCCACAAACAACTTCGTCGGTAAAATAACAGCTGACTCAACGGAGGTTGAGTAGGACAGTTTTTCGTGAGTAAATTCGCATCTGCCAGACCAAATATCGTCTGATGGACTGAAGACTTTTATTTTTGAGCCACGTGGTTTTAAAGGGACTCATAAGACCATCAATCGGACAGAAAATTCCCGGAAAAACTCTTTCCGATGACTCTGAGATTGTTAACAACCACCACCTCATTTTATATAAGCTGTAATGACAGACAATCTGATTGGCAGAGTCTTATCAAATTAACCATGAAGAAGGCACATTCACCGTGTTCAAAAAATGAAGTTCCCAGTTCATGAGATCAAAACTTATTCCACGAAAACTGCCCTAACGCAGAATGATGCGCCAAGTCGTGTCTAACACGAGGTTTTTAATCTTGTAAACTTGGACGCATCTATCCATTTGTTATCGAATTTCGCATTAGCAAAGCCACTGGAAAATTCAACGTTTCAATATTCACAACTCTCGGTTAAGGGAACCATTTGAATAAGAATAGAAATTTATCTTTTGTGTGTAATGATCAAGCCGTAAGCCATCTGTTGATGCATATACTGAGCTTCGGCTCCTGGGAGTTTTCTTGTTGTTATGCTTGTGCAAACCGAACCCGGCGGAAGATCAATACTTCTTGTATGTCATAATACAGCTAACAGTAACTAGCTCAGCTCAGAGACTACCGATTACAGAATGAATACGACAGAAACAGGATCCTAGGATTGAATTATCCAATTTTCTGGTGACAGCATTGTGTACCTTAACTGCATTCGTCAGTTTTAAACTAAGATTCAGAGCACAGTATCCGATAATGTATTAGGGCTTCCATATCTATTACGTAATCGTATGTCTTTCATGTGGTGCTGAACTCCGTCTCATTGACTGCAAATCAGTGGTTGGCAAGTCAGCTATATGCGAACACTTTCTGATTTTTTCCAGTCTTGATCTGCTGGGTCTTGCAGTGGACAGTGCACCAACCACCACTGCTCGTCCAATGTTTAAGAACTCCTTGTCGTTCAGAAAAAGCACTTCAAATGACTCACTGACGAAGCCAGTTGCCTTAATGAAACTTATCTTAAGATGGGGGCAAGGTTCTGCTGGAGTCACTTTCTGGAAACGCATATCCCATTATTTCATTTTGTCTTGAAGTTTTGTCGGTAGCACCCCAAAACACACACTACTGGACTGGAGTCTAGTTGATTCATAGTGACCCTCGACATTTTGTCCAGGTTTGTCATCAGAACTCTGTGCAGATACGTGTAGCAACTGGTGTTGTCGAACAGTACAACTTGCAATGACAAATCCGGTGTTTTTCATGCAACAACCAGCTCAATACCTTCGTTTGAGGCACACAAAAAAATAACCTGTTTCTCTGTTCCTCGGTCCGCTTGTTCATTTCAATTCATTCAATCATGAATCTTGCAACTCCGTGCTCTAGTTTCGGTTGCCACCTTGCAGAAACATACACTTGAAAGCAGAATGGACGGAAGCATAATATGAAGGGGGCCGGAAAGCAAATACCAAGTGGAAATATAGACGTGCGCCTAAGTCGGTGGGTGGATGGCTTCGCTCAACTATCAATGCACAGGAAAGCAACGTGGAATGGGCAGTATATGCACTTTGAAAGTTTTGTGCCACTCAAATTTAAGCACAACTTAATTCGTTGCTTGGTTAATAGCGTGCACAAAATCTGTACTGAGGACACAACGGACAACGAACTTCTGTTTCTGCGCAATATGTTCCTGCAAAATAGATATCCTGATCGTTCCATTGACAGGACAAGGCAATGAGTGGAAGAAAGAGCGAAGACCGTTGTTGTCCCAAAATGTCAGTATACATCAGTTTCATGTAATGGAAAATCCACTTGGCGCGCGCCGGCCTCAGACTTTTCGATGTGAAAAATGCAAGTGGATTTCCCATTACATGAGATTCAGGCTCCTCGTGCCAACTATACCTTCTGTGAATACATCAGTTTGGAGCTCAAAGGTAATTACCCAATGGATAATAAACATCACAAATTATCAGGAACTGTTGGGAAAACATTTTACGCGACAAAGCTTCTATTTGTATTTACATCAAAGGATAAGGTATCAGGTTCTATGGCTTTATTCTGTGCATATTTTTTACTTGGTCCTGTTAGACTGCGTACATTGGCCGTACCACCAGACGCTTATCCGGACGTGTCCGTGAACACCACCCGACTTGGTTGAACACTGGAGTAATCAAAGTGAATACGAGTGCTGTGTTTTTACACTTTGTTCAGTCTAGCCACTCAGTGAATGTGACCGAATAGTTCCGGCCAATATACAAATTTCGAAATGAGCAATTACGACTGGTGAAGTGCCGTATGCTAGCTACAGCGGAAGCTGTATGCATTCGTCCCTACAACCCGCTGTTTCACTCCCCAAAATAGTCCGTGCAAGTACCATAGCTTCCTAGGCCCACCCCCTACCCCGAAACAAACCACAGATCTGCTGATCAGTCTAATGACACAGAAGATACTCACTCTCGCGGGTGAGATTTGATCTCCTCTCCTCCACTTAATTTTGACTCATCGCCTTATCTTGGTTACCGTTCTGTTCACTTACCATTGTTCATATAAAATGTGATGCAATGGCATGATTATGAATCACTGAAAAAGAGCTTGTTCGCCACCTTATGTAGTTCTCCATGTGCTCTGTGGAATTATTCGGATATTTAAATCACAAAGACAAATGAAGTGGTGAATGCGACCACGCCACTGGCCACGGCACCCAGCTACGTTACTTATTGTATCCAGTCCTCTGATTGGCGGGTCTCGTGGACCCCAACCAAGAAGTCACACACGTCCTAGTTGACCAAGTCTATTGACCGAGTTTTTCGTATCTTTTTGCCATGTCATGAACTGACCACCTCGACGTACCTATCATGCCTCATTCCATCGTGACGGTATTTCTAATTTGAGGAACTTGAGGCAAGAGGATAGAGCACACTCTTCAGTGCATACAGCACGTTGTTGTATCTTACGGTCTTTCCTGTTAGCTGGTAAAGTTCACATTGTAGTTCAGTGCAAACTGACGGCTAACTGCGGTATAGAGAGCCTAGTCAAGTCTGTTTGCTGTCCGACCTCGATTCATTAATTACCCAAAGCGACTTTGTGCAATCCATGTCAAGGCAGTGACAAGCTCCATCAGTTCAACGAAGTTTGCCTCTTCGTCATTCTGAATTATAAGATCGACTCTTTCGGCTTACTTACATTGCGATGAGCGGAATAACCGTTTCACTATTTGTTCGAGCGTGGTTAGCGCACCTAGATCGAGCATGTAGTCCATTTGCTCTAAGGTAGGGTTATATCCCTCGATTGTAACAGTTAGTGGAGATATCGTTTCCGAGTCGATATGGTCGACACCCGACCTCCCCATAAATCATTCTAAGAGAGGACGGAGCACTTCGTGCAAGCGATCAAATTTGTCCTTTAATACTTGGCAGGCTCTGCCACGACCAGTGGGGGAGGCAACAGGACTAATTTCTCAGTCGCCTTGAGCGCTTTCCACTTGAAATAAGGAAGTAGGTATAATAAGCATTGAATACCATCTTTGACCTTCAAAGATACGTAACTGTAGCTGATTAATGAACTTCCGATGCATGGTAGACAGTATATCAAACAAGAACATTTCAAACTGTGGGAGATCCAAACCGAAAATGAGAGCGAAAAAGGACCTAACAATTTTTGTCCCAACTACTGTTCTCCATTTTCTTCATGGTAAATGATACAAATAAACAAATTATTGTCAGCAACTGCGGTAGGATCCAATTTACCAAACTTATAAACCTGATCCTTACAATCTGATGATTCGACTGAACCCGGGGACACTTCATCGGCTAGATTATCAGAAGGCTTTTCAATCTCCAACTTTAGCTGTGCATCAATAATCTTACTTCCTTTCCTTCGAATATGTTAACTTTCCCTATCATATTGTCTATGGTATTTACCCGATGAGACATGGCAAAATCTACCCGGATACAAACTGTACAACGTAACTCAGTTGTGTTCTCTTCCTAACCGAGTACTCGTCAAGAGTGAATCCGGACAATTAAACATTCTGTACACATTATCTGGACAATAAAACAAGTTTATTAGCGCTACCGCCAGAAAGGTTTGCTCGAATCGAAGAGAGCTAACGCGAGAGAACAAAAGAGTGAATAATCAAAGTTGGTTCAAAGTGAAGCAAAACTGAAGAATTTGGTAACATAAACCAGCATAAATTTTCAGTATGAAAGTAGAAACAACCGAGTATGCGCATAAAATACGGTGAAGCGTGCATCACTCGCCATGTCGAAAAGTGTCACGAAATTTGCTGCTTCTCTGTAAATGATCTGGCAAGCAAATGTGATAAAAAATAACTTCAGGAAGTTAGATGTAGCCACTATCAGAGAAACGGCAGAGAAGATCGATCCTCCTGTGAGTCACTATACGACTGAAGTGAGATAGAATATCATCAGACAAAACTTCCTCAGCCTAATCAGTCAATTCGCTCCTCTGGAGCACATAAAGCGGTTGAGCAAACCACCTCTGTGGTCAGGTCGAGCAACCAGGGAAAAGATGGAAAAGAAAACGATTGGTGCTGTTTTCGATTGGGAG